TGAATCAGAGTGGTACTGACTCCTGAAATGATCGGTTGCCTTCTACATGCTCCTGTTGCCTGAGGAAGAAGCCCAGTAGAGGAGGAAGAACACAGAATAGGAGCCAGAAATAGAATGACAGTCAGGGATGGGGCACAGAATTCTCTCAGGAGAAATGGGAATGCCTGGACCCTGCTCAGAGGGACTTGTACAGCGATGTGATGTTGCAGAACAGTAGGAACCTGGTCTCTCTGGGTGAGGATAATTAACTTCCAGACGATGGGATCTGCTCTTGGGTATCTGCCTTTTCCCTCTGTGCCTCTAGGGAGTCCCTGCACTGATTGACTGAGATAGAAACCCTATTGACTCAGAAAAGGAAAGCTTCTTAATGAAGCATCTGGACTTGAAATTTGCCCCTTCTTCAGATGACCAGCTTACTTCATTCCACTTCAGGGGTGGTTCCAGAGCTTAAGTATGCTAAAACCTTATGGCAACTTTAACACATCCAATTCCCTCTTTTCTACCCCTGTGCTTTTGATTCAGTAATTCTTAGAAGAGAACTGGATATATGCACATTATATTGTTCCGGATGCATTCAGGAGGAGGCAACCTGTTCATAAAATTTTGAAACCGCTTTTCAGCTTTCTTGAGGTATAATTGTCAAATAAAATTGTAATACATTTTTTAAAAGGTACATAGCCAGAATCTTTGTGAGTGGTTGCCATTTGGGTAGAAATCACCTTCTGAGAATATGGTGTGGAGGATAACTGAGAAAGCCAGTCCCCAAACACTGCGGCCCACATTCACTTTCAGAGATGTGCTCACTGAATGTAGGATTAAAAGGTTGGAAGCAAAGTGACAGGAACAAATCTGTGGTTCATTCAGCTATTTAATAAATACAAGGAACAGAGCACAGTATTCAAAACCTTGGCTCTGAAAGGTGTGAATATGCCCATGTCAAGGCAATGTCAGCTTTTATTTTACTAGTTAGAGCCAACGATCTGAAATTTCAATTTTATCATAAGCCTTGGAGTGTTTTGTTCACTTCTATATCCCCAGAATCTAGAAAAGTGTTTCAGGTATAAGAACTAGACAGTAAATATGTATTGAATAAATCCTATGGAAAGGGGACTGCCAATCTTTTTTGTGTTTTCTGTATGCCCCCTGGAATTGGTGCTCTGCAAAGGTTTTGGCTGTCACTATTTACTTAGGATTTTGCATGAGCTTCAGAAAAGACTGAACTTAGATGTGCTCTGAGCACAGACATCAAGCACCTACACCTCGACACAAGAAGAACTAAACTTTCTTACCTTTCTCCTCAAAGTTAAATCGCTCTCAAATATGCATCATCTATCCAATAACTTAAAAAATATTTAAGACTTTCCTCTTTCCCTATCTCATTTCCCGCTACATCCAATTTGTCATTATATATTGGACACCCAACCTCTTCAATATTGTTCACATCCTTCCTCACCTTGTTATTCTCCCTGCTTGCTGCATTAATTCACGTGACTGAATTAATGCAGCCTGTTCAAATTAGCTCTTCTCAGACCCACCTGCCTCCTTTCTCAGCCCTCTCCACGCCAATTACTGGGAATGTACAGTAATTCTTCTGGTTCAGTGGTTGTCAGCTGGTGGTGGTGTTTTTGGTTTTGCTTTTATTTTTTGTTCCTGTTACTAAAAGAATTTTGAGAAAGTATTTATGTCCTCTCACATGTGTTTAAGTTGACATCCACATTTTTTCTGGCAAGTTTAAATAGCTGCAAAAGATGTGATTTCTAGCATATGTTAACTACTGACATCTTGAAACCAAAATTTTTATATCACACTTTTGAATGGATGAATGGACTCTAAATACTGGAGTGATTTGACACCTACCTGTTCCTGGATAATTGTACATTATCAAGCTCTTTTTCTCCTTGAATCATTTTTTTTCCATTCCACTTTACCTATGGAATGTCATTTGAATTTAATGTATTTTATGTTGGAGAGACTTTTATTCTTCACCCCATCATACTTTTCTGAAAGATTTTTATATTTCAAAATTATTTAAATTTCTTGTGACCACAGAATTCTAAGAGATAAATAGACATATACACCACACACACACATATACACACACATGCACATATAAGTATATATTATGGATAGAGTTATGTAACTATTAATAGTACATAAGTGATAAGCAGCATGAATATATAGTATTTTTAAATGTCTCTTGGTTTAGTGTCGCCAAAGTGTTTATACCCCAGGACAATGCACCACATTAAAATTCAGGAAGGCTGGGCAGTTTGCCTTTGTTCAGTGAAGTAGGAAAGGGAAATTGTGAATGGGAAGAAAGGATTTTGACCTTGACTAACTCCTTAGGAACACATTCACTTCAAGCAGAAGATTTGGGGCAAGAATTCGTATGGAAGTAAAGGAGCTAGAATTTGAACCTCTAAGCTGTCCATGCCCACACACCCCAGGAGAGTCTTTGTGTTCCCGTGGGCTTCATGGATACCAATTTCGAGACTTCTGTACTATGTTGTACAGCAAAAGTGAAGACATTTGGCAGGTGTAAGTAAAGTCCCTAATAAGTTGACTTTACGTTAATTAAAGGGAATTTACCATGGGTGGTCCTGACCTAATCAGGTGAGCTCTTTAAAAGAAGATGTAGAAGTCAGAAGCTCAAACTACCAGAAAGCTATGCTGTTGGCCTTGAAGAAGTAAACTTCCCTATTGAGAGAGTCATGTGGTAGGAAGTATCAGGCAGTCTTTAGGAGCTGAGGACCTCAGCACTGCAGCCGCAAGAAACTGAATTCTGCCAACAACCGGTGAACTTGGAATGGGATACTGAGTCTTAAATGATACAGTAAGTCTGGCAGCACCCGCATCATGGCCTTGTGAGGTCCTAAGCAGAGAAGCCGCCTGCGTCATCCTTCTTACCCACAGAAATTATGACATAATAGGTATTGTTTTAAGCCACTAAGTTTTTGGTAATTCGTTATACAGCGATAGAAAACTGTTACACAGTTAAAACCATCACCGAATGTCTTGGTGCTGCATCATAGGCAGTACTGTAAATGTAAGCCAAAATATTTGGAAGCATATTCATAAAACATAATTTCATATGCCTTCCAGAATTGCAGAATGTCAACTTCAGCTCATTTGAATAAAAATGTAGTCTCCACATATGATTTTACAAACTAAAAGCTTTCCTGTAATGAACTATTTCTAAAATATTCCCAATGCTTAAAAGATTATTTTGTTCTTCACTATATAGGTTTGGCTTACAAATTCTACCACCCTGTTCTTAGAATTAACATCCTATAAACATCATCCTCTGTTTAACAAAGCCATCTGAATCACTGCATGTTAGTTGCATAATTAGCCAACTCTTCTTTGGACAGAAAATAAAAAGAAATCTATCTAGTAGTGAGGAAGTATCATATTTGTTTTATTTCTTTTCTCTCACAACGTCTTTTAAAATAACCAAACACTGATTGGTAAATGAATAGGAGGGAAACAGTGAATGTGCAGATGAGTATGCATGCGAACATGTGTGTGTGTGTGTGTGTGTGTGTGTGTGTTTATACGGATCTTATTCCAGAGACAATTTATAAGAGTACCTAAAACACACACACATACACACACACACACAGGATGGAAGGGAAAAATGTTGGTTTATAGTACCTAAGTAGTCTCAAAGGATGGAAAGCTTAACAAGATTTTAAAAGTCAGTGAATGGAACTAACCCAATCTATACAGAAAAACACTGTCACAAGAGTCATCTTTTATTTTAAGGGACCAAACAGATGATTCAATTTCCTTGGAACATTGTGTTCACATCAAGAACCTACCAGATTCTGCAGTTATTTCACATATGCCAGACACATCCTCTTTCTATGGGCTTTATTTGAGTTGTCCAAAACATTTCCTTTTATTAGCAGGTCTAAGTGGAGAGAGATTTACCTTGGCAGTATCACGGTGTGGATAATATTGAATTAAGTTTGTTCAAAGGAATATCTCCATCAGGCTGTACTAGGAAAATATGCAAATACCTATCCCTATCCTCAGAACTGTCCACTTATCATTTAGGCTGCTGGTACCTGATCTTATGTAGATTATTTGTCCCTCTATATATGCATATCTTTATATTATCAAGCCAATTTATAATTACAATTTATAATCCCTTACTAAATTCATGTGAGTCTACTGGTCTTAAAACATTTTAGGATCCAGCTGAAAAAATAAGACCTGTACTCATAGAAATAAAAGCATGGCCAAATCTAATTATCCAGTGTTATTTCAAAGAGTAAAAATGTGTAAGTTAACCATGGAGGAGAAGACCAAGTATACAGATTTAAAGAGCTACCACAAAGCAAGTGAGGAAAGAAGCTTTTATCAGAAATTCAGGAGTGTTGAGTAAAGGCCAGTACATAGAAAACAACCATAACGCAGCTAAAAGACGGGTTGGTACAGAACACAGGCTGTGGACAAGGCAGCCAGAGAGGTGGGGATCAGCCACTAGAGATTAACGATGTCTGTGAGATTCTTCCAGTGGACTTACTAGTCTTCATTGCAACTCTGTCATTCATTAAAAGAGGTTCACAGTAGCTTGACAGCTTGTGTTATGTCTGGGGAGGAACGGTATGGAAAGGATACCAGATTGGAAGGTAAAATCTAAGGTGCTAGCTTTTATGGCCTTAATGACATTAGGATACTGCACATAATCCCTGATCCTTTTCTACCTCAGTGGATTTTTTTTTTTTAAATAACATGAGAATGTTTAGGCCTTCGCCGTAAGTGTAAATGTTTTGTGTATTTGTGTTCACTTGCATATGTATCTCTTTCAAAACAATGACCCTCTGAAAATTCCAAAGATTTGGGTAGAATTATATAACACATTCTTAAAATATTAAAACCTACACACATTAAAGCATCAAGTAAAATAGCTGTTAACCTGTCTCACTAATAATCGCCTGCTTAGATCCAGTCTGTGAGAGGAAAAGGAAGCAATAAATTTGACCTTAACTTACCGCACATTTTAATTGCACAGTACTCCCAGGGGGTGTCAGGGTCAAGAGTATAGCACCATGGCCTGGGCTTGCCATCAGGATTGCGGCAATAATTATCATCAAAGCCCTTGTCGGGATATCTGCAAACCACACGAAGAAAAGTGTCATGTAAATCTGCCTGGAAACACCACCCACTCCTCAGCTCACAAAATAACGTTTGACCTAGCTTGGCTACTACTAGATGGGGGAAGAAGAGGTTTTCTGTTGCGCCTTACAAGAACTAATTATCAACTATTGCATCTGTTAGCTTACATATCTAGTAAGTACAGAATACATCCCCTTTGCTAATAAGTTAGGTCCATTTGGTACCTGTCCCCCGGCTGAGGTCCCAAACTGAGTCCTCTTCTCACAAAGCCCAATTAAGGACAGATTACATAAACATGACCTCAGGTAGAATGCTCATTAAGAAGAGGGGTCCTTTTCTGGGGCAGGCTTAAAGTTCAAACTGAAAGTTAGGTTTCAATAGTTCTGTTACTAATGATAGCTCAATTTTGAAAATAGAGCCCTTCTAGGTCATGCCCTCTCCTCCACCATGGCAAGAGAGAAACTCCATCACACCACTTTCTCTATACCCACCTCCCTTTAAATTAACAGGGTCCTGAATTGGTGACTTGATTTTAATTGCTACCACATTCCTTCTGCACTCACTTAAAAGACAAGAGATATACTTTTTAAAAAAACCCAAAACACACAGTTTTAATTTAATTTAAGATAATAACAAACAAAAAAAAAGATAAAGAAAGAAAAGCACCTTTCAGAAAGGTGGGGATAGAGCTTCTGCTATAATTGTTTATATTTTTATTCTTTATAATAAAAATAAGGGAATTTTTTTCAACTCAAATGTTTCATATGAAATGAATGAACCAAAGTAGACATATTTTTTTTAAACCATTTAAGCTCAAAACCTATTCCTGAGGAGAAAAGTAGACTTGGTTGCATGACTTCTCCAGATTGGCAATTCCAAAACACGCTAGGATAAAGCAGCCAAAGAACTGTTTGCTCCACCTTTCATTCCCTTTCTATGGGCATGACCTATGTCATGGTGTCACACGTGTGACCCCACTTTACCTAAGTCACTGAAGATGTGCCTTTAGAAGGACATTGGCTTGTATTTAGCAATAATGCCTCCTCCCATAGCTTGGACTGTGGTCATTACTTAATGAGCCTCTGTCTTTGTCCTGCCATGGAAGAGAAAGAGGAAGCTTCTGTTAGTGCTCCCCTTCTGCACCCCACTGATGCTCCTGTGTTCAGGACCATTATGATTTCAGGGACTCCGTCTACTCAGCAGAGACCACTCAAAGGTGTAGCCAGCATTCTCATATACTTCATCATCAGTCCCTTTGCCCCAAGACTATCCAGAAAACATGATATAAACAGAATTTCTAAGGCAGTTTGTCATGGAGCAAATACCAGTTTGTAAAAAGAATCATTGGAAGCATGATTTGGTAGTATTTTACCTTTCTGGCAAGAATTTGTGCCGGTGTGGTGTCTGATGATCCCAGCGCTGACAAATCTTGCCTGATTCTGTATGATCCATGGGACCTCGATAACTTTCCCCATTGCAGGTCATGCATTCAACTAATAAAATTAAAGTATGGCATGTTAATTGCTTCTGACAGCAAAATCAAGAACACCACTGTTCCATTGAAAGAATAGTAAATCATCTGTTTAGCAAAAAGATTTTTAGAACAATTTATGTACCATTTTAATGTTGAACTGGGGTCTAAGGTCCATAAAGAGTGACATAAAATATTCCCTACAGTGCTCTTCATATAGTTTACATGGGATTTGTGTAGTTATTCGTACATATTTACCATAGGGCCAGGTTGCTACCTTTCTAATTTTTCAATAGCTGTCCAAAAGGCACCCAGAAACTGGAAATACAGGATTTCAGTGTCTATACTGACTGCAGAATAATTCTCTTCTCTCAACTTAAGCTCCAAACACAAAATCAGGAAATACACAACTTAAAATGAGTATACATGATACCCCTAGGGTTAATGCCAAAATCAGGACCAGGTAAACTTGAGAGATCAACTTCAAGCATAAGTGTGGTACTATTCAAAGAACAGGGATATTTTAAAAGAAATCATGGCTCCTTTCTGTTCCTGAGTATCAATGTCGAATGACTGGGCAGACTTACATTCTTATCTAGACTAGGATAGAAGATGACCTGCTATTGAACTCCTTGTACTCAGTGTCTTTAAAATGTATACGCTCATGTAATTATGCAGGATCCTACTGATGATTCTGTGAGGTTAATTAATAGTTCTCCTCTGGCTGGCCTCTTATGTCACACTGAAAATTCTGAATCACATCAGCTAGCTGAAAATGAGACTTCTCAAATGGACAGGTTGATTTGTAGCACAGCAGGAATCCTATGGAATAAATCATTGCTTGGCTTTCTTACGAATCCGGCAAACTTCCCCAAACACATCATTTGTATCTTGTGACTACTGATCATCTAACTTTAGCCAAAGCAGAGTAAAGATATCAATGTTTAGCTTTATCCACTGGTATCTAGCCTAATAGGTATTTGTAAGAATTTGGGATATAATATTAGAATAATCACTTCTGGACCTTTGATTTTTATAACCTAATAGGACAGTAACTATTAACTTTCTGAAATATAAGATGATTTGGCTTGATCCATCTACTTCTTTTTATGTTGCTTAATCTATGAACAAGACAAGGGACAATTCAGCTTCCTCTCATTAGATTCCGAGTTTCCCCAGACTACAGTCAGTAAGCACCTGAACTATAAATGAGAGGTACTCTGTTTGGCCAAGGTCATTTCCACATTAAAATGCTCATGCTCAACCCTGGATTGTGGGCACATCTCAGCTTTCCAGTTCAATGGGGTACAGATTTATTTAGTTCCCTTTTCAAAAGAATTCAAGGTTTGATATCTTCACAGAAAATGATGAGGCATTTATTATTCTTTGTTCCTTTGTACTGAGTGAAAAAGTAGAATTGAATACTATGATCACACGTAAGAAAAAAGTATCCACATGTACAATCTCTAACCTTATATGGTACACAGGAATATATCTATGTCTCCTTTAGCAGATGCAAGTTGATAAGAGTATATCCCTTTCAAATGAGAGTGAATATAATGATTTTCTGCAAATCAGTATTGTGGGGATTATTATAAAACATTTTTCCTAAGGTTCAGGATTTTTAATCTTCTTTAGGGAAAATAGCTACACAAATTAAACAGATGATTCTATAAGACAGCTGCTTTACAGAATGAGTGTGGTAGATCACTGCTTCTCCAAACCTTAATGTGCATAAAAGTCACTTTGCAATCTTGTTAAAGAGCAAGTTCTGATTCAGAGGATCAGGACGGGAGCATCAATCATTAGTTCCCAGGGGATACTGATGCTTCTGGTACTTGAAATTCACACTGAGTAGCAAGTGTGTGGATAATTCATTCTATTCTAGAAGTTCTAAGTGTCTGGTGGTAATGGCTTTGTCGGAGAGAAATGATTTTACTTGGGTATTGAAGGATGGATGGATTTGGATAAGCTATTACAGAGCAAAATAACATAAAATGGTACAGAAACATAAATTAGTGTGTTATGTTTATAGCAAAGTGAAGAGAGAGTTATGGATGCAGTTGGCAGACCTAAGGAGATTTTTAAAAATAATAAAAGTCAGCAAGAATAACGTAAGATTTTGGTAGGCAATGAAAGTTGTTGTTGGGGTGGGAATAAAATGTGTCCTGTGATAGAACTGAGATGATAAGTATATTATAGTTATAAATTCTTTGATTACTCAGTACTTTTAACATACAAGAAATCATTTGACCCTTGCAATGAGGAAAACAAGGCTCACACAAGTTTTAGGGGACTTACCTAAAACAGAAAATGTCAGACCTGTGCCTGGAACACAGACCTTCTGACCCACAGTCCAGGGTTCATTCCATTCTTCCTAATTATCTTTTTGTCTCATGTATTTTAATTTGTTTCCTATGCATTCTGATTGGTCATACTTTTACGATAGACTCATAGCAATAATTTTAGAAAGTCAATCTCCCTGCCTTTTCAACATTGTCTTCATTACCCCCTCTGCCTTCTTGTTTATAACAGTAAGTTGCCCTGTTGTATTCTCACCTACTGGAGGATGGGGAGAAGGGGAGCAAGTAGATTGGCCACCTTACGTGGGCTGAAAAATTTGTTGTTTTACTATTGCATCAAGCCATCAGGTTACTAGTAAAAATTACCTCAAGAAAGTCAAATTTTAAACTCACACTTTTCAAACTTCCAGAATTCTAAGAAACTCTAAGTTTTCCAAGTTCAGTCAGGCAGTAGGGATGGAAATCAAGTCCATCTACTCATGGAAGTAGGTGAAAATATGATCTATATAACACTGCATAGGGTGAGGATCACCCCTCTTGCTCTATGTCCTTTTGGCTCTTTATTTGCCAGTGTATTATTCAACAGCTCTAGCAAGTTCATCCTTTTAAAAACAGAACAAAACAAAAAACAAAAGCAAAATGCTGTCCCAAATCACATAAACTCAAACTAAGTAAGTGTTTCTATTCGTAACTGGAGTAGTTTTCCTAAATATACCTCTGGCCTAAATGAAAGTAGAAAAATATATTAACTACACATGAATAGTAATATAAATAGGATTCATTTAGCATCTTTCTCATCATACTAACCAACTAACTCAAAAATTATTGTGTTCTGTTTTTCTCAATTATAAAATTACAAGTGATCTGAGTTTACAGACTAAAGTAACTATTTTTAAAAATATCTCTCAGAAAAATCCATGCTGGTGATTACTTCAGCAAAACTGTATGTTTGAAATATGGATATTTTCACAAACCCACATTTATAAATAATCATTTTATTTAAATCTTTGTTTTTAAAAGTCCTTCTCCACGGAATATGAAATTATACACATAAAGTTATAGCAGTATTATTTGGGATTTTAAATGTAAGTTATAAAAAATAATGATTATGGCTTAATAAAATGTATTCACTTGAATATTTGACACTCATTAAAAAAGACATCTGTTCCAATAACTGGTGATTGCTATGTTCTAAATCCCAAGCAAATGTTAAAGCAAGAAATTGGACTTTAGACAACTCAGTTTTTTATAGTATTTGAATTAAACATCAATGCTACTATTTTCTTTACATATTGTGTAAGTTTCTAAATATGATAAAAGTATTCATTTTCTTTTGGAATGCTTAATATATTTCAAAGATTAAATTATAAGAAAATAATATTAATCACTGGACCTCAGATATACTTCTTTTATGAACCAAACTTTCAGATAAATTTCAGATGATTATTCAGCCAAGAGTTTGATAAGGTTATAAAAATTTCAAGAAATACATCTACATTATTTTGTATATTTTGTATTATCCATTTTATAAATAGCTCTGTTTTTCTCTATTAATGTATTGACAGTGCTTCTTATTTTAGATCCTCTTCAGTAAAATCCTGCTAACGCATTATTCAGTATAGTGTGAATTTAAATATCACAGCTCAATTCACACTCCCCGAAATATGTTTAGCCTATAGGACAGGTGTTGGTTCACGTCTCTCACAGGATTGTTATTCAACTACCATCAGATTTCTAATTACTTCCAGAAAAAGCCTATCTGCAACCTTCAATGCCACAGTGACCAATAGCATCATCTGCCATTAATAGTAATGAGCAATGCCCTTTTGTAAGGAAGTGTAATGACCTCAAATTAATAAAGGATAATAGAGATGTACATTCTAATAAGATGAGGATAACTGGAAATAGGATTTTTCCAATTACTTCTTTTCTAGCACATTTATTCTACGTTGTCTATCAGTCCAGATCTATGCCAGTGTATTTTGATGAAGGTTCTTATAAACCAGGGTTGAGAAATCACATTCCCACATGAACTAGGCAGGTAACATAAATGCTAAGCTATTTAAAGTTTGACTAAGTTACCTTCCCTTGAAAACACTTTCCCAGATCAAAAAACATCACTAAACAAAACTCCTTGCAATGACTTTCAACCTCAGAAAACTGTGAGAGTGGAGAGTTCCCCCAAAAAAGTAGGGTTTTTTTTCTTCCATGTGTAAATTTAAAACAAATATTAATTACAGATTTATTCATACAAAACAGACTTGTTCATAACGTTATCACAGATAAGTTTATTATTTTTAAAAGAGAAGAAAACAACGAAGAAGTTATAGTGAACAGAATATGATATGGAATGGAAAGTAAGAATTTACAAACAGAGATGGAACTGGCTCTAGCACATGAAGTCAAGAATTTTAAATTAACTACAACAGAAAACAAATTCACCTTCTCCATGACAATTCGCTAACAATGGCCTTTTTATGTGATCAATATCAACCTAATATTAAATGGGTATTTATGGAAAAATAGTTCAAAAAATTTGGTTAATAACAAACAGGTACGATATCTTACTATAAAAATTGGACAGCATCCCGGCAGCCCCCTACCCCCAAGTACTTCAAAATCCGACTAAATTTCTATCAGAACTTAATGCATGTTTCATTTGGATTTTTAGAATTTTAGTTTATGACAGAACTGAAAAACCAGCTGTTCAGCAGGCAGGTAACTAAGAAAAGTGAAACCACATACAATGCTGAAGTGGTTACTCTTCCTTCTTGTCAGGCCTTCAGCTTTCCAGTGCAAGAGTGAGGACAGGGCCCCTTTATGCTGTGAGGGGAGGTAAAAACAGACATGGCCTTAGGGTGCCTGCCTTCAAGACAGGGTGGGCTCTATGGCTTTAATCTCTTCAGATACTATTCTCAATGGTGTGTAGTGTCAGTCTATGTATCAAATTTGCTTTCCACCAGAAGGCACACAGGCGGATCGAACTTGCAGCGACCCCTCCCCATATTCTCTTCTGGGCTCATGTACCCTGGCCACACCACTTCAGGGCAGGTTTGACAAAATTTCTGCAGAAGCAGGTGCTGGATGAATAGAAGTAGCATTACTCTTAAAGAGCATTGCTTCCTTCGGCTCCTTTCAGGTGACGTGTGGAAAGAGACTGTGAGGTATGTGAACTCAAGACAGTAGATGAGGAAGCCCAAACTTCTACTCTCCCCGGAGGGATGCCTCAGGCTCGGTTGAAATTCAAACTGATAACTCTTTTGTATTAATCTGATGAAAATCAGTTTTTAAAACATCGTGTAAAAATGCTCAGATAATTATATATAGTTGCATTTGAATGAACAACATATTTATTACGCTTTGATTCGTCTCTGTTAACCTTTAACGCGAGTTGCAGTTTTACACAAAGCGGGAGCAGAGCGCCCCACACGGCATTCAGGTTCATTTACCTTCTGAACACTGAGGAATGTCACAGACTTCGTAGCGTACCTCTGGATTGCTTGTGAAACACCAAGGTCCCCCTTCTTCCCCTCGAGGATTTCGACAGTAGTTTTCCTGTAGGTCTTTACCCCGATAGCTCGAAGGCAAAAAGCTAGTTTTAAAATGATAATCATTACAGTATAAGAGCATGCAACTTTATTTTGGGCCTATTAATTTTACTAATTAGTGGGTAGGTTTTTCCTGAAGTACAGAAATCCTTTATTCTATCTCAGACTTCCACATATATTAATTTGAACTCTGTCACTTTCATCCATTCTTAAAATACTTAAATTTTATAAATATTTACCTGACCGAATTCCCACATTCAACGTCATTAACAATGACTCATCTCTGGAGTTGCTAATAGCCAATCATTCTAGAACCTAATTGACATTGTTCGAACCACAATTTCAAAGCTCCTCTCAAAGTCAGCACCTGATTGAGCAAGGCCACTGAGGAGAGAATGGAAGAAACACTGCAGTTGACCTTGAAATCTCACTATTATACTGCTTATCTGAGATAATTACTTGTTTGTTTATTGCTTTTCTCATGAAGAATAGCCCTCTTCCCCCCCCCCCACAGTTGAGAAACAGGTTGACGAAGTGACACAAACAAAGGGTCTAGAATCAAATTAAACCTGGATTCAAATTTCAGTTCTCTCTTTTACTAACTGGAGACCCCAGCAGGTAATTTAGACTCTCTCAGCCTTTTAGCTTACCTGCACATGGAGTATAACCATAACTTAAAGCATCTTACACTTCATATGGTGTTTTGAGAAGTTCAAAGAGATGACAGAGTAATCGACAGTCAATAAATGCTACTTATTATTAACCTCACTCCACCTAGTAGTCTTTACCCTGTCATAGTAAAAAACATAATTACTTATTCTCTTCAAAAAATTTAGCAATTTTCACTGCAACTGGGGTTTAGTGCTTCCAGACTGAGTTTTTAACAGTTTGCCATTGGGTGCAGAGACTGTAATGCATTACCTTCATTTGAAATTTGTAATGCCCTAGTTATAGTTTTCTGATCACCATAAGGTATTTCAACACAAAATCAGAAAAATCCAAAGCCTTTTTTATTCGTTTGTACTGCTCGTGGCATTGGCCTCAATGATGCTTTCTTCTGCTAGACTGAATGCAAAAAAATCGTGTAAGGAAGAATATACATCTGTGGGTAACACTAAACTTTTCTTTTGAAAATCCAGTTACATTTTCGACACTCAGTTCATTGTTGCTATAAAGCTTTATTTCTACTCTTACTGTTTCTGAGTTCTAACTGGTAGTTCTAGTGAAGTCAAAGGATTTTAGTTTCTAAGTAAAAACCATTCAAATGTGTTTCCAATCCACTGAAACTTATTTAGAAATCATTGCTTTTTTTTGTTATGTTGTGACACAAAATGTATATGGATGTGCATTGGGTACCGAGAAATATTTTGCAATGACATTTTTTTCATTTGGACATGAAATATACCAAAGTTAAGTCCTCAGAAAATATAAATTATTGGTTAAAAAGAGTCTATTTTAAGAGACTTACTACTAACCAAACATTTTCAAGGAAACTGGTATTATAAATATTATGAAACTCCAAAATGTCTTTAGATAGAATTTATATCCTTACTTGATTAGAATTTTAAATATGGGGAAACAAAAATTAGACATTAGGCCATATGATTGACATAAATGATAATACAATTAAATCTCATCATGATTTCACAGTTCCTAACAGTATTTAATTTTAAAAGAAAAAGAAGGCATCTTTTTTCTTATTTTTGGCCCTTTTATTCCAGAATAGCTTAGGATACCTTTTTTTGTTCCAAGCTTGAAATTTTCTTTAATTTTGCCAGTTTTCCAACTTTTCATAGTAAACTTCTAATGAAATACTCATTTTTCTGATAGAATCAAAACTTTTACTTCAGATTGTTTTGTGTAAAGTAATACATAAGTGTACCTAAAAAAATGCTCCCATAACTCTATTTTATGAAAATACTTGGTATAGTAGAGTAGAAAGAATAAGTAATTGTTAATCACAAAATCTACATTGTTGCCGCATATATATCACTTGGCTACTTATATGACACTAGTCCTTAGTCCCTACCTAATTTATTTACTCTTTGCTTTTCACTTCTTCACTTATATATGGAGTGAATTTGATTATTGTAAGGTCTTTTTTTGTCATTTTATGTATTAAGTTTACTTAGAATAAGTTAAATAATGGATTTAGTACATGTTAAATACACACATATTAAATATCTATGATTTTAGAGAAGACTTGTCGTACACACACACACAAACACACATAGAACACATATACCTTGCCAGTGGATTTGTAAAGCTAAAAAGAAGCTGTAAAGAAGTAGCGAATGAATCAGTCAATGGTTTAGTAGTTTAGTTTAGGTAAGGAAGAGAAAAAAAGTAGAAATCAGAACTAGATGTGGCAGAAATATGAATAAAATTTTCTCACTGGAGTTAATAAAATGCAACTGAAAAGAAAAGGTGCTGCTTTCCATAATTCTATGTCAATGAACATGAAATTCCTCTTTAGGACATTCATGACAGTCTGGTCGTCTCTTCCCTTCATTCTTTGGTGTGTATGGCTTTTTACCCAAATTAGCTGGTTTTCTTTTGTGTCCTGAGGTATAGCCTGCTTTTTTTAAGCATGCTGTACTTGGCCAAAGGATGAAGCCAGCCCTGCTCTTTTCACTTCTATATGTTCATTCAACAAATGTTGAATTACACACAAGCCCTTTGCCAGTCAAAGCCTGTGTAATAAACTTTTATTCACATATATACTATTTATGGTTCTTTATCATTGTTAGCAAGGCTTTAAGAGAGAGAAGTAAAGAAATATTTAAAACTTAGTTATATCATGTATACTTTGAAATATAAATTAGGTCTTCTGGGCGCTAGTCACCTTTTCTTTTCTTTTAATATAAACTGCATTCATGGGAAACTTGATCTATTCCATCATCTGCTTCGTTAATGAATGCTGGTGGCCAGTGAAGGATATAGATGTAGATATCGAGTCACCTGATTTTCTGGTTAAGCTTCTATACTAATTTCTTCATCTATCATCATCTTCCCATTAAGCCACTTGTAACATATTTCTATTTAGGAGTCAACAATAAATCACTCTTCCAGACAGAGATATATATATTTTTTTCCATTTCCCATAAAGTTAATCTTTAGGTAACACTTAACTTAAAAGTGTTAAGCTATCATGCAGATAAACCAATAAGCGGCTAATTGATGAAAATTAAGTGTTACCATTGTTAAACAAACAAACAGACAAAAAAGATTTGATTAATATACAAGATCTTTTCAGCCCTAAACTTCCATATCACAAGGACATGTTTGTTGGTAAAATAGCTGATTAGACTGGGAAGCCAGTTCCAGGGAGATCTATTTCACATGTACTCTTCTCGCACAGAATCACAATCATAGAGAATTTGGGTTGAAATAAGACCTCTACTGGGTCAGTCCAGTGCACTCAACTAGGGTAGGATTGATTTCAAATGTTATTCCTTTGTTCATGAAAAACTTAGATCGATCTATTTAAATAACATGTTTTCCTCATATGGTGTCATAGGAGTGACACCATACAAATCCTTATGAGGGAACAAACCAATTATATTGGGTTTTTGGCTTGACAATATAATGCTACGTTTCAGAGGTATTTGTGTATTATCGTAAGTAACTAATTTGGAAAAAATTAGTTGTTTTCTGTTATTAAAAACCCTGTAAACTGGTCAACTTGGACACTCACCAGCTGGTGTTAATTAGGGCCGGGATCACAGGTTTGATCCCAATGTGGAGCAACAAACTCTTTTTCTTTACAGGTGGGACAATTAGCTCATGTCTGTTTACAGCAGTGAAATCATCTTGCATAATTATGCCCCTCAAAAATGAATGAAATGAAATAAAAAAGTGAATTCATCAAGGCAAAGTCATCACCCTTATTGCAAAAACAAGCCACAGTATGTGTTTCATGCCCTGTTTTATGTTAAAAACACACGTTATACAGTGACACTGGCTGGGCTCACATTCGGGCCAGAGGACTTACTAGTTGTGCATGACCTTGAAAGGTTCCTAAGGCTTTTGTTCTTCAGTTTCACCATATATAAAATAGAATTAATAAAACTACCCACTTTGTGGTTCTTGGGGGGATTAAATGAGATAAATAAGATAGACTCCTCAGCAAGGTACTTGGCTCGTGGTAAACGAAATCTTCCAATGCATTTACTAACCAAGGAGAACTGTTTTAAACTACCTTAGTTCCTGTCAAAGTTATTTGTGAATTGAGTTCCGGAAAAACTGGGGCTAAATTTAGTTCTTTAGTGAGTATTAGAAATCTATATTTCTCTTCCAGGATGATTAAAACTCTCAGACTAATGAGCCCATGGATGCTGTGTTTACTCATCTTTAAATAGCATTCATCTGTTATAATGAACACAGTTCTTCTCTGAAGTGTAGACATTTAATTTCCAGGCAATGAGAAGTTTTGTCCAGTCATTAGGCACTGGGTGAAATGGGAAACCTGGTCAGTCTCTGGCATGACTTATTAGCAGAGCTTCTCAATTTTGGCTGTACTTTGGAATCATTTAGGGAGCTTAAAAAAAAAAAAACAAAAAAAAACAGTGCCTGGGTTATTCCCCTAAAAGATTCTAATTTAATTGGCCTGTGTTGATGCCTGGGTGGTGAGATTTGTTAAGGGCTCATAGCAGGTGATTTTAATGTGTAGCCAAGGTTGTGTACCACCATAGTTAAAGAACAGTCAGGCCCTGGGTCAGGTCAGAGTCTGATCCATCATATTTATATCACAGTCAACCTCTCCACTCCAGCTGCAGGGTGCTGTACCTTCTGGAAGGCAAAGAAAGCAGGGGAAAAATCTTTTTTTTTTAATCACATTTTCATTACTTCCTCACCAACACCAAGATGTATAAGCTGACGTTTTTGAGGTAAGATAGCACTAGGCCTCATCTTAATGATAAATTTATTCATCTTTGAATCTCAGTCATGAATTCACATAATCCTTGGCTTAATGCCATTCAGAAAAATTGGCCGTTATTATAGAACTGTAGTATTATTCTGAAGGACTCACATGAGATTGCTAACACACATATAAAAAAGAAAGGCTCTACTCTCCTTTTTTCATGCTTTTCTTACCTGTGTTCATGTGGGATCATGGAATTCCAGGGCTGGCATTTGATGCCACTCTTAGTGATAGATACGGTTCCCTTGTAGCTACCTCCTTTACCAATGATGCAGTTTCTAATGTAGTCTATCAGAAGAAAGCAGAGAAAAATTTTATAACTATGTGTAACATATGTTGCATATATTAAAAAAGAAAAAGAAAATTCTATCCAAATCTTTAGGTAATTAATGTTTATAAGTTCTCTCAAATCATACTGACATTTCTTGCCTACAGTTTCTACTATTTTCAAAGCAATACATTTCAGTATAATACAAAACAAAACAAAAAAAGACTACTGAGAAGTTTTAATTTTGTGAGTATATTCCTGGATACAGCAGAGATTAGTCTATGTATACACAACTGGCCAGGCAAATTTAATTTGACAGAATGATTTCCTCAAATATACTAAGCATTTTAAGAAAATGTTAAAAATAAAAAATAAGTAATTTGTAAAATCTATTCAATTCAAAGGGTTACTTTGAGATAATAAAAATAACTAACTTGTCTTTATCTCAATAAAATTGTATAGGTTTTTGTATATGTGTGTGTGTGTCTGACAGTTGTATTATGTTGATTATTATTTTCTATATTTTTGCTAACTTTTCAGCTGCGAAACTATAGAGCAATTAAATTTAAACAAGCTATATATTCCTATCAAATAATAGTATATACAGTTGCTAGCAACCTAGAAGATTAAAAGATGGCCTTATACTAGATCATAAATTATGTTTAGGAATTGTAGCTTTATTGGGGTATATAGAGATCATCTTATTTTCTTTCTTTTTAGATCATCTTATTTTCTATCATAAATTAATTTTAAGTGTCTACCTTCTTAACAAGGAAATATCTGTGTATATTATCAAGTACTCAGTAATGACACAATACGATTTAAGAAAACACTAAACTTCAAATAAATACTATTATCATAAATATAATCCATAATCATTATTTTGTGTGATAAGAGATTTATTTTGTAAAACTCATATTTATTTAACATTCTCCAATTATTTCCTTGATATAAATCTAATTGGAGCAAAGTAAATACATGTGAATATAGTATCAGATAAACAAAATAGACACATTAACAAATAATATGATCTCAATTCTTCTTTTAAAGATTTTCAAAGTATATAATTAGGAAAAGACACAACTAATATTTCAAAATCTCCACATTTTATTATCAGCAATCACCACTATGACAGATTAGTTACCCAAAGTTGTTAACATTTAAAATGCAATGTAATAAGCTCAAAATGTACTATAAGGTGTTTTAAACTATTAATTTAAGGTGGCACTTTCTAAAATGAACATGGACAACATCAGTTCTAGGAGATGCTCCTAGAAATAAATAAAGAGGGAGGGAGCAGTCTAATCATGGAAAGTTTGAGAAATGCTCTCTTTAAAATATCATATTGAAAATAGTCAAGACACTAGTATCCTCTGTCTTAAAGGAAGAATTGACTGCATAACAGATATAGCATATAATAGAAAAATTAGTGGGCAAGAGCACTGTGGCAGGAAATTACATATATTTTATGCTTTATTTTGTTATGAAGTATTTAGGGAGAAGCCAGTTACCTTTGTTTTCATAGAGATCAAATTCGTGACCAAACTCTTTTTTCACTCCACTTGTCATGCTATTGAAAGGGAACCAGAGGCATCGTTTCCTTGCTTTATCAAAAACAAAAGCCCTGAAAAAAATATCTAAATGAAAAGAAGGAACACTACTACTTATACAGTTTTTAAAGAATGGGCACATGGTTTAACCAAGGAGGGCAATATAAAAAGACACATGGTTATATATGCATAATAAAAACATGAGTGATTTTTGAAACTACCATTTTGATAGCTAAATAAGAAAGAACAAAATTAAGTTTTTATACGTGTAGATTTAAATATCAGAATACTATTTGGAATGTTCTCATGTTATTTTAAATGATGTCTAGAAAAATGAAGTCTTAAACAAGCAAAATCAATATATAACACAACTACTTGGATTATTTCTGAAGACATTTTTTGGAAGTACACAGCAAGTAGGAAGATTCTGTTTGTAGTTATATACAAATGATTATATCTGAAATATTGTGATTAATTTCCAAAGTTTGTAATTGTGTAAAGTACATTCTAAAATGACATTTCCTAAAATGCATTAGACAAATCTCCACCCAGGAAATTCTCCTAGCAAAAGGGATCTGAAATCAAATTTTGGAAAATTTTGCATGTTCTATCCCTTCTTGGTGAGTTATAAAGCATGGAAGGTTATTAAAGGCTATGAAAAGCTTGCTATCAGATAGATAAGTGTTTATGTAAGGCAATGTTTCCTAAATAGACTTGCTTGCATAGACATTTTTAATTTAAAAAATCTATTAATATCATACTGCGTACGCTCTTGATATATCTATCTTGAAGAAAGTTACTAAAATGTGTCACTCCTACAATCATCATTCTTATTGCTAAGTATTATATTGGGTTTTGTTGTTCACTAAAAAAGTCTTTCTAAACAAAATAAACCCTTAACTGAGAATAGTAAAGAACTTGATAAAATTTTCAACATATTAAATGTTACCATGTCTTACAATGTAGAAAATGAAGTGGGAATTCTGACCTGTTTACCTTCCTTTAAGAAATGGTATTAAAACTCCTTCTCACTATGATTGTGCTAATTACAATGTCACCATGAACAAGTATCTAATTAAACAAAATACAGATTTTCTAAGAAAAGGGTTTTTCACTTCTAATCTATATAATATCTTTTAAGAACACATATTTTTCTTATAATTTTAGATATTCCAAGCTAGTCACTTATTTCTTAATAATTTGCCAAATTTTAAATAATTTTAAATAAGGGGAAATAACTTTTATGAAACATAAAAAATATGTAATAAAATTATTTAAAACATTTTACCTATGATCTAATATTTCTATGTAGTACATTTTATTCTATATTCAAATAACTCCAAAAATTTTATGCATAAACTTTGAGCTTTGATTTACACATCGATAATTTGAAATATCTACCTACAAGAACATCTTACAGCTGAAATCGTAATTAAGAGCAAATCATGAAAGTATATTTTTTCAGCGGTGGCAGATAAGAGAGGATTGGCTAATGATAGCAATAAGACTTGAATTTTGATCTGGTGGGCTGTAGCCTTATGCAATACATGTTAAATTCTCTATTACGCTATTGTAGCATGTTGAGGTGTATTAAATGACTTTGAATGCATAGTAATTAGAAAAAGAACACATATTAAAAAAAACTAAACAAACATCTAAAACCAAATTTTAAAGTTACAGTTGCCACTTAACTTCACATTAAAATAAAGTTGTGTGACACATAGATAACTACTCTTCTATGGATAATATGGCTTTGACATGAGAATGCCTTGGAGGTGACTCATGAGCCCCATCAGGAACATGTAAGATTTGCCTCCGTGAATACACAGGTGATTCCATCTGACAAGTGGGTAACCGAGTTTCCAGTTTGCTGACTTGACTTCACCTTTTTGCTCATTCCATTACAATGTCATACTCTCTCAGAAAAGTGTTTCCTTGAATCACTTTATACCTCCAAATAGACTGGATCCAAACAATAGATTCTAGAGTTGCATCTTCTTTTAAGTTTGACTTTAAGAGTCTTTATCTTATCCTTATTTTAATTATCATATTCCTTTCAATAATTTATTTTGTCTAGTTTTCTAGTTGTTTACGGCAGGAAGGCAATTCCAGTACCAGTTACTCAGTCATGGGTGGAGGAAGAAAGCCTCATATTTTCTTCTCTTGAGTCAAGTCATGGAGAGCAATTTCCTGAGGAGCTTAGAATCAGGCATTCTGGTCCTCTTTCCTACCCAGCAAAAAAGAACTTTGATCTCTGTAAAATCAATATTGTTGATACCTTCTCAGGAGATTGCGTTTGAGAATGTTCCACCCCATACCCACTGAATCACAGATGCTTTCACACAGCACTGTTGGTATTTTCCAAGCATTTTTGTATATTTGCCATTGTCTTTCAATGATTCTAGTCCATATAGCAAGCCTGCAAAAAGATCCTTTAATTCATTAAGAATCTAATTTCAGAGAATCACAGTATGTCCGTTCAATTCTGAACAACCAATGTATTTAGTGATTGCAAACACATGTGCCTATATATTTGGGATAGACAAGTGAGAAGGATGACACATTTCTGAGCAGAAGAATTCTTTCTGTACAAAGGTATTATGCATGTGGTTTTCTGCACAGGTTGCAATAAGTTTGAAGACTAAATGTAACTCAACCAGAATACAGTAGGAAAGTATGAAACCTCATATACATGGGATATATAAAGATTTTTAATCATTTCACATGTGTTCCCTAATGCAGCAAAATCATCTTAGTTCCTCCTAAATAAAACATAGGGAAAGGTTTTTGTTTTGTTTTCTAGAGATAAGGCTGACTAATGTGAAAATCAAAAGGTAGTAATACTTTCCTTAATCTTGGATTCAGGAGAGTGTATTTTCAGATTCTGAGTTAAAAATAAATAATAAGATGAGGTTCTCCCATTTCCCTTGCCCCACCTTCCCAAGCCTGTGAGGGAAAATACAATAAATCTAACCTTCTCAATTGTGAGAACATCACCATAAATCTACACAGTTATGATGTTGATTGAGAGTAGTTTTCTCTAGCTTATTTTGAATAATCTGAAGGCAGGAAAGTCAGGAGAAGAAACAGAATTATCATAGGAATATACTTGCAAAATCAATTCCCCACTCCCCTTGCCAGGAAATATCTCCCTGAAAGTGGCAGTTTGACAATAAAAATACTTTCAGAGGAGTTGTAAATGAATAGAAGGGAGATAGTCTGTCCTCCACTACATCTGTCGAGGACCTCCTCTGACCAGGTCCTTTCCCCCAGGCCCATAACACTCATTTCTCTGAAAAAGGTAAAATGAGATTAGGCTCGCTTGCCACAGCATTACTAAAATCTGGGTTCACATTACATGTCACTGTTCAAATGCAGTGGAGTAGAATTCAAAACTGACAGGATATCATGCACAGTCCTGTAAAAAATAGAATGAAATAGGGAATAAATGGGTATAAAGTAAATGAGGGGATGGGGATGTTTACAAAGAAGAGTGAGGAAATGCATTTTCTTCTGGCAATTCAGAAAATTATTCAGATGCAACTGTCTCCTGCTTGGCCCCAAACTCCCAAGTTTTATCCTTGGGATCGCGGGCAAAGTAGGAAGGAATTCCTCCCTGTGAGGTTGCACAGGGAATTTCAAATGATAAGAAAACCCTCCGTTTGAATCCCCTCATGCCTCTTTGAATTTCTCTGTCACTTTTCACCTAAAACTTCATCATCACTACCCCTAAGTCCTTTTGAACAGCCTTTGCTGCTGACACCAATCCCTCTACTTTTTTATCTAATTCTCTCAACACCTTTTATTTAAATCCCTAGACAATGATGTAAGATGCAGTAAATTCTGGCTCTGGCCCAACTTATATTCTCAAAATTCCTCCACTCCTCTTGCAAGAAAAAAAAAATTTACTCTGAATAGAATATTTTAAAATGTTGGCTAAAAGGCAATCTAATGGAATTTTAGTTTCTAAAGTTCAACTGTTCATAAGATGAGAAAACACAAATTCCATAAGCAAGGGCATTCTGGGTTCTAAAAGATATCCATTTATGTTCTCTCCCTTACTCATATTTCCATCAACTGAGGGCTACATTTTCTGTTATAATGAATTAAAACTAAAGTCAAGCTTATACTTTTAAGGGCAAATTACACTGAATACAAAGAAAAAAAAAGAAAAAAAAAACATGACGATAATTAGAAGATGTTATATTTGGAAAGTTATCCTAAGAACAAAATGAAGCAACTTACTTGCAAGTGAATGGAAGTCCTTTATTCCTAATACATCTATTGGCACATTGGTCTGCAGTGTTCATTTTTTTTGTTTTTATCTTCAGTAATGGGTCTTCTTTAATTAGAGTAGTCTTTGCTGACTTTTTGAATTCATGAAGTGTGTTTCTTCTTTTCTTCTGTCCTTCTATTAATAATAATAATTTTTTTTAAAAAAATGGAGGAAAGCTTTTAAGGCTCATATAGAAAAAATGTCCTTAAGGATCATCCACAAGATAGTGATTTTATCTGACAACATACTAGATCTCCAGGGGTTGGGGGTGAAGTGAGGTGGGGATTGATACTCTCAGATAGTTAAGAGCAAGAGAGGAATATTGTAACCAGTGAAGAATAAGTAACTTTGTCATGTAGGGTCACTCATCTACATTCTTTAAAATGAAATATGCTTATAAAAATTAGGACAGAGTTCACTCTACAGAAATAAATGACATGATATTCTCCAAACAGTATGAAAGCAAATGCCCAGGCATATCATATCATGCTCTGTAATTAAATTTGTCATTTCCTTCTACAGTTGGTCCTTATGTAAGTTACAGTATTAATTAGATAAGTCAATTCAATTACATGTGAGAAACTTCTCACTAAAAATGGTTCAGTGGATATATTCTTCTGGCTCTCTTTAAACTATTTCATATTATTCATATTTTAGCCCTTCTCATTTCCTACAGAAGTGTTTTCTGTGCTTGGGGGTACTATTTCTTAAGTATCACTGAATTGTTTGTCTTGAAATCAAGCCAAATGCTATAAATCAAATGTATGTAAAACTTCAAGCTTTAATGTAGCAATATCATTTTTCTTCAAGAGAGTATTCTACAAGGCCCCTAGATAGCATGAAGCCTCCTATTAAAAATGTGAAAAACAGAACTAAAACATCCTAAAGGACTTAATCTTATAGATGACTTTAGAGTATCAAGAACTACTTCTTCATTCTTGATGTGCCCAAAGTTACCTAGCTTCTAGTGATGGTCACCATCTTCACAATGAGGATCAAAATGTCTAAGAGACTGCACCTATTATACAATAAGGATGGGCATGATTATGCCTCTCCTCTGCCTGCCAGTTCTTTTGAACACCCTTATAACAAAGGCAGTAATAATATATTCATTTTTAAGATATAGAAACCAAGACACAGAGAAAAATTAATTGCCATTTAGCAAATCTCATTTGAAACCCAGCTGCCTCACTTCAGAACCCCCAGCCCCCACTCTTAAACACTCATGATGCCATCTTTTCTCTTTCTTTTTAATTCTAAGTAAGTAGAAATATGGCTTATAAATATTTTCTGAAGATCCGGTTCAGAGCTATCAGTAGAGAAGGAACTTGGATGGTAGAACAGGAAATGCATTCCTGGTCTTTATATGTGGTGAAATGTGCCAAGAAAAGAGGGTGAAAATTTTTGTGCAGAAAATTTGGAAATATGGCTAGCAGAGTGAGGTACAAACAATGGCATCATACTCTCAACTTTGCCAGCAACCACTGGCTCCGGTTGGTTTATTAAACATGCAGATGCTATTCATTAATGTCTATCCTAACCTGAAGTCCACAATAAATAAGAGAAAACATGAAGTCCTCTAAATTTCTCGTTCTCTGTAAAACTTCAGAGCACAATCCCCAAAAGACTGGTACTAATTTCTGTAATAATGTTTTCATTTTTAACTTTTCTTTGCCCTAAAAGATGGAATGGCCAGGGTACAACAGATATAATTTAAAAGACATTTTAACATAGAAATTCATTCAACCAAATAATCTATCAACATGTTATTTATTGAGTGCGGAGCAAATGCCTTGCATAACATTGGCAGACAGATGATAATTCTGGCAGTCTTACCGACTTGCCAAATGACTTTGTTTAATTACCTGAAATGCTAATATACCAATGACTCAGTCTACAAAATAAAAGTTATATTATATTTGAAGCTATTTAAATTATAATTATTAAGTAAATATTTGGAAATTAATTCAGATAAAAATGTTATAAATATGCAAAGTTTTAGCTTTGCTTTTGAAATTCCATTCTTTAATTTCTGGCATAGAGAAGAAATTGTTATTCTCCCAAGCAAAGAAGTGGTATAATTCTTTTCACATTTTGGTTTCTGCCACAGAACCATGTTAATGGGAGATATGTCTCTGCATTAGGAGTTTCTTCCTTTGACCGTGGTGCACCATTTCTGAAGTGCTGTAAAATGTTTCACAGAATAATAATCATCTGATTTCCTCTATAATTTGGAGTATTTCTTAGAAACAAATAGTAGTTTATGGATGCTGAAAATCTATTAAATAAAACTGTTGACTAAAATGGAAGATATATATATAGATAGATATAGATGTGTGGATTATATATATATATATATTTCTTAAATAAATTCAGTTAACTAAAAATATAGAATTAAAATTGGCCTGATGAATAATGTGTTTATTATACATATCTAAGTGTGAGAGAAGAGCATAAAACTAAATTTTCAAAGTTTGAGGCAAGTATTAAATTCAGATATGTATTTTACTAATTATCAAATTCATTTAACTAAAATGAATTAGTTAAATCTATATAGATATAGATATAGATATAGATAGATAAATTTTAACAGTCTGAGGCAAACATTAAATTCAGATATGTATTTTACTAATTATCAAATAAAAAAACCCCTTGTGGATGCTCTGGTTTCTTGGCTCAATACCATGCGCTATGAAGGCAAGTACTGAAGACTACTCTAGAGAAAAGAGGTCTCTGTGGGATTGTTGGTTGTGTTTAACTCTACAGATCCTCAGGTGTCCTATTGAGATGTGTTAATGTGTGGCTATACCTCATAACAGTAGTCTAACTCTTGCTTGCTGATAACTTTTTCCATCACCACCTTTCATCTAAAGATCAAAAAGCATTCAGAAAAGCAAATAAATCTATGATTTCCCTTTACTAGATAATAGATAGGAGTGAAAAGCTTGTATGGGCCTACAGAACTAATCAAAGGCAAATCCAGATATCAGGATTCTCTTTTCACTATTTATTTCTCATGATTTAGAAGCTTTCCTTTATAATTTAGTCATTTCTACTAGGTCAGTAACAAATTACTCAAAAATGTGAAGTTCAAGCTCGTTGTACATCATGTAATCCAGGCATCTATAAAACTAATTTCTTCTTCAATAAAAGAAAAATTCAAAACAGGAGTCTAAAAGACAGCATGTCAAAATAAAACTCCTTTTCTGAAAATAGTTTCAACTTTTTCTTCCATATGTATTAACAACTGATGATTGTTTTACTGAAAACAGTTAAAAGACCAGCTTAATTTGGGAAGAAACTAAAAAAAAATATATCTTTGGATCAGATTTTTCCCTACTATTTCTTTGTGCATGACTATTAGTTGAAGTTTATAAACAAAATGTTGAAATGAAGTCAAAGGGTGAGAGATCACAGCAACTTTGTCATGCTTTCTTGTACTTTAAACTACAACTCCTTTCTCCTCTTCTCCCAGTATGGGAAAACATTCTGGAAGCTATATTTCCTGAAGAACCAGAAATCCTTGTTTTAGAACTGAAATCGTTAGGATATTAGTGAAAACCTACAAACAGAAAGTAGGGTCAAATGTATCAAGGTGCTTGAAGAAAGACACATTTCTCCCTCTGGTCCCCTGGCCTCACACTCATTTCTCTCAGTACCTCATATATTTTCTTCTCTGTATGGACTAACCATTGACTTCAAAGGAAAATCATGCAAGGAAAGGATTTGCAGGGTGTGGAAAGAAGCAGGAATCTGGCTCCACATATTCTGAGAAACCTACCCACATGATTAGTGATTAACAGCTTGAAGTGGCAAGATGTTAAGATGAAAGTACACAAATAATTAATGGAGGGAATGGTTGTGACTGGAGACTTTAACCTTCCCAAAGACAAGAATCATAAATACTAGTTCACAGTTTCATTGCTGTTATCTAGGACTTGGATTTCGTAGTTGGTATTTGAGAAGCAAGCGAAATGATCTCTTCCAAAGAGGTTTACACAATGAAGTGATAGTCAAGGTGGGATTCAGGGCCTCTCTTCTTCACCTTCATTCGGCTTCCTTGTTCAGGATGTCATGGTCACAGATGCCTCCTCCTGGTCTCTTCCCTGACCCTCTGTTTCTGCCAACAATTCTCCCTCCACGCAGCAACCAAAACAACCACACTGAAGTACAACTTAAGTCGGGTCTCTAGACTGACTCTAAAATTTCCAACTGCTTGCTACCCATGATGTTCAGAATAGTTTAGCACAACCATTCGTGCTTATGCACGCTACCCTATCTCATTTTTCTAATCACAGGCCATACTACCCCCCCTCAGTTACTCAGTACACCAGTCCCACATGGTTAGCTGTCCTCATTCTTTCTCACCTCCATGCCTTTGGCCACTTTGTTTTCCCCTGACTTCGGTATGACCATGCTCCATTTTTTCATACTCAATTTGGGTACCATATTTCCCCCAAATTTTCTAAGCTAGAAATGAACTCTAAACCATAGTATTATAGTATTTCTAACACAGAGATTTTCATATATTACTTAGCAAAATGGATTTTTAAAAGGCAATTTCGGTTGATTTCACCGTTTCTGGCTTCAGTATAAGTAAAAGGAAAAAAAACCAGCACATATTTCCTTCTCATAGATTTGGGTAGGACTCTCAGCTCTATCCCCTTACTATGATAAGATAATTGAGGTCATTAACCTCAATTTCCCCATGTAAGATGAGTTGAATACTGCTAATCTTATTGGAGTTAAATAAGTTCTCTTTTAGAGTTTGGTCCATAACAGTTGCTTAACAAATGTAGGTTTCTTTCTCATTTGTTCATCTTTATATCCCCCCAGGTTCCTGGACATTAGATGCTTACTTAATGCTTCTTTTGTTACAGGGAATTGGATATCTGTTTCCAGTGTAGGTAGAAGTGGATAGGGGGTAATTCTATGTAGACCAACTCCTATAAGGATGGCTTGGATCCACTATATTGCAATAAATGATCCCCATAATACATTCTGCTTATAATTGGTTGTCACCTCATTATAGTATCCACTTCTTTCCTAACATTGTATTCTTTTACAATATGTACAAGTATAGACTCATAGAATAAACCTAAAAGTATAACCAAAGCAATTAACAACAACAAAAAAACTCCAAATGTTCAATGTTAGATGATATTAAAAAAAGGACAAATTTTATATGTTCTAAGAGGACTATCCATGTTCTCCATTTTGGAGAATGTTGTTAAAAAAAAAAAAACAACAACAACCATCAAAATAAACTTGCCACCCAAACTAAGCCAGACCCTCTTTTGATGACAATTTTAGCATTATCCACTTCAGGAATTATTCACAGCATATCTGTAATTCCCAATTGGCCTCGCCTTGCCTGCCAGCAACTCTTGGGCTGCATTCTCCCTATACTCAGGAAACACAGTCATTTCAACATTAGCCAAAGTGAAATATAATTATGAATGTATATCTCCTGCCAAAACTTCGTAATGTGTGCCAAAAACAAATAGACGTTGTCTATGGTTGATCTACCGTTTTGGGTTTTCCACATTGTGTTTCCTTCGCATTAGCACAGATGATTTCAGGTAACCATATTATACTTCAGACCATCAACATTTGAATTAAAAATGAAAGCCCTCCAAATATTAGCCGGGTTTTCAATTTATGCTCAAAATCCCCTAAAATCAGCAATCCTTATGAGAGTTCATTTTAGCATGACACACCTCAAGCATGATGACCTGCCTGATTGAACTAACTTCTTTTTCACCTCTTTGGAAATCGTACCTACATGTTTTCAAACTGGTCCTTCCTGCACACTGTTGTTTTTCACAAGGACCAGTTCACAAAATAGAAGAAGAAAGCCAGGTGGGTCTAATGCTTTACCTTGTCATTTAGCAAAGTCTTGATGTTTTCAACCCGGTATTACATCAGAAACTAGATCAGAGCTCTGATACATTTCATATTTAGCTTATCTCCAAAGATATAGCCAGTCCTCTGGTTTGTGTTATGAAAAGGCCATGTCTACCATGTGGGCATTCGTTCCATTCTTTTATTCCCTTATGCCTACCCATGGTGCTCACTACCTTCTCCCATTGGCATCTCAGCCACCACAATGATAATACAAACAAATACAGATGTTTCCTCTTGCCCTGATAACAACAGAAAACTTCCCAAAGCAGCAAATGGAATCTCTACACTTCCAGGAAGGTAGTATGAACTCACCAGCAGTTCCTTCCCAACCTGCAAATTCGGGGGAGAAATGGGAGACTGAAAGGAGCCGTTTCCCAGCTTAAATCAGAGTCACAGTTTGTGCCTCCCTTGCCCTGCAGTTTCAAAGGGCAGGCATCCAAACCCAGACAGAATGAGATCTCAGAAGAGAGGCTTTCTCTTTCATTTTTATAACATGCATATCCCCAGAGTTTAATCTGCCTTCTCCAAATGAAAACCTGTATAAAGTCATCATTTAGCCCTGAAGGTTCACTGCGTGATGTGGGGTAGCAGAATGTCATGGAAAATTATCCCCTGGAAAGAAGGGAGACCCTGCTGTACTGACAGTCACTCTCCCCTCTTCAAGACCAGACCTTCGGTGCAGCTTTAAACTTGTCCAAACCAGCAAAATTCCAGCCAGTGTTAGCACTTCATTCCTGTCCCACAGTCCACAACTAGGAGGCTAAGGGGGAGCTGGGGCTAGGGTTGGGGTGGAGGACACATTCAGGGGATGTTAATTATCATTGTAAATGCCTTGCAAACAGAAAAAAAAGAATATCAAAAGAAAGCACCAGGAGATGTTTTTTAAAAAAAAAAAAAACCCATGCCACACACAGAGTTAAGAAAGGATGCGGGGGAAGGGGTAAAGAAGGTGTTAGGGAAAGGGAAGGTTAGCAGGAGAGAGTTAAGACGAATGAGGAAGAAGAAGAGAAGACTAACCTGCATAGGGGATGGCGATGGGAAGCAGAAGGAGATGGAGGAGGACATGCTGCAGGAGCAGGACTGGCAGAAGTTTGGTCCCCCACATGGTGCTGCCGGACGCGCTGGCGGATCCCACTGGACGAGATGCCTGGCTGAGAGAAGCCTGTTCCGACTCAGTGCCTAAAAGAACCAGTCGCCTCTGAGCAGCTTTTTATTGCGATGAGCTAAGTTTGTTGTGTGATTAACTGGAAAGATCTAGGTCTGAACTCCCTCTTATGGTAAGAAACTGTTTAACAACAGCCCTTTACTCTCTTCCACCCCCTTCCTTTCCTCACTAACCTCCCCCCCAACAACACCAAAGAGATCCCAGCTCCCCGCCGCGCCCCCCCCAACTCTGCTTAGGAAAGAAACTTACAAAGAGAAGGTCACCTGGCCTGAGGCCAGCTCAATTTGGAAGCTGGAGCTCCAGATCCCTGTGGCTCCTATCCGAGTAGGGAAGGGAGGAGCAAGGCTCAGCCCAATAGCTAAATCAAGGCACAGGCAGAGGACCAATTCGCTAAATTTAAACAGGAAAATACATGTGTTTACATGTCTCTTTGGGAAAAGAGGAAGGGGAAGCAGCAGCAGAAGAAAGCAAAGAACTGCCTTTCAGACAAGTGCTTTAGCTCCTAATCTGTCTGGTTTCCCTGCTAGAGCAAAGTAGGGACTCAAAACACTAACACAGGTTCCCTGGAGTGAGAGAGACAGTGGGGGGTGGGGGAGACAGGCAAGGAGGCAGAGCCAGGCAGGTCCAGCCCAGGTAAAAAAGAGGGTGTGGTATTGTGGGGTAAAAATAAAGGAGCAACACCGACACCCACCATGTCAGGTAAGAAAACCGCCCCAGCCCAAAATGCTCAGAGCAGGCAGCTTCTCTCAGCAGCTACACTAAGCTCCGCAATCACCACAGATGTGCCTAAAGTGCATCAGAGAAACTTGTCTGATTTGGGATCTGTGATAAAGTCTGGTCATGCTCTCTCTTAAAATGTCTAAGAGATTAGGATTATCTACAGCCTGTCTCCGACAGATAAATGTAGCTTGGACTATGTGTCCTTATACCACACGCACACACACGCAGGCATGTATGTCTATATGATGCGCATACCTTCTAAGACTAACTTTCACTGGAAGTCTCTCAATCTGTTTTAATTCATACATAACAAAAGTGCCTCTCTTCTCCACCTCCATCCCTCTGAATGTACCCACCAGCCTCCCAGAATCTAAACGGAGAGATAAAGAGATTGCATGGGGAGTGGAAGGAGGTGGGGAGGGGGGCGGGAAGACTCATGTCTGCAGAACCTGAGATCATTGCTCAAACCTCTCATTTTACTGACGGGATTGATTTATCTTTGCATCTCCAGGTGATGCTCTGATTACTCGAGGCAAGAGCAGGCTTTATTTTGGATGGCTTTGGGGGCATCGTTACCAGTGCGTCTCTGAGATGGGTGCAAATAGGAAGCTGCGTCTCTGTGGACCGAGGAAGAGAAAGTGGGCATGATGTGAAAACGACTCTGGGGCGGTGTGCACCGGTGGTGGGCAAAATGAATGCCATCCGCACAGAGCAGCCTTCCCTTCTCCTCCTCCAGCTCCGCCCACCCACCTCCAGAAAACACCCGGGTTAGGACAGCTAGAGAAGCTTGGGATTAAGAGAATTACTTTTGAGGAATCTACTTTATATTACCTTCTCTTACTGTAAATCCTCTTTAATCATCTTCTCCTTAGAAAAACAAAACCGAGCAAACTGAAAAATCATTTGGCGGCCGAGTCTCCCTAGTGTCCCAAGTATCCATTTTACTCTCCTTTTTACTTTCTGGTAGGCTTCTTGGAAAATCTCAACTTCAGTGTATTGCCTGGCCATGTTCCTGAAATGCCCCACACATCTCTTGTGCTTTATTAGGGATTCAAACTCCTTTTTAAAGAAGCTAGATTTTTCTATAAGTAAATACTTACAGGTAAAGAATAAAGGAGACCAGTCTTTCTATTTGTTTTTTAGGTTTTTTTTTTTTTCCTCTCTTTCCCTCCCTCCCAGAGAAGGCAGGATCAGGCTGTAAGCGTGATTGCAATTATCATTATAGGCTTGGAGCAAAATCCATCCTAGATAAGAGATTGAGAGCACCGCAAGGAAGTTGAATAAACTTATTTACTAAGTCACACATTTTCACAATTTTTATTGTCACACTAAATACAATAAATGCTTAAACCTGTCTATAATTATATGTTTATATTTCTCTTTTGACAGGTTATTTGATTTCTCTATGTTAAAAATGATAGCTCATATGCGTTGAGCTTTCAGTGTATGCTAAGCATTGTGTCAAATGCTCTTTAAAACTTGTCTTATTTAATCCTTACTATAAACTTACATTAAGAAGGAATTATTATAACTCCCATTTTATAGCTGAGGAAACTTAAGTAAATTATTTCTATCCTAAAATAACTCCCACAGATCCCAAAGGAATAAAGATCCAGGTGTGAGACTCGAATAGTTCGTCGTACCCCGTAGGATGGAGAAATTTCTGTAAACCCCATGAGAAGAACCACCTGTCTTTTGTTTAAGATTATAATCTCTGAAATAAGCCCAGGATGGAACATATAAGAAATGCTCAACAATAAGTTACAAAATAAACCCATATATAAATAACTTAAAATCTCCCTAAACTACAAAGAAATATGCACGTGAAATAAATTATTAGTTGTGCTATTATTTTACTTTGTTTTGATAACACATGCCCTTTGTTCTTTCTAAATTATAGTAATGATGATTTGCCCATCCCTTGCTCTTACCTTTATACTCTTTAGGTGTTAAACTGTTTGTATAAGTCCCCCAAAATGTGTCTGAAAATTTTTTGATAAAACAGAGAATCTTGTAAGGAGAATTTATAATTGCGAGACCTTGTGTAATTACTTAAATACAGGATGAATACTCATTGCCAATATAATATCATTTTAAATCGATGATAACTTTCAAGTCTCTAGTAAATCATGTAAACTAGATGGAATGAATGGGAAAAAATGTACATTATTATACTTCCTGTTTTAAAAAATTATATCTTCCAAAGCCCCACGTTTTCAAGCACAAGTGATGTTTGCCTTTGTGTAAATGGGGCAGAAGTTGATGTGACCTTGTGCTTTGCAGACCACTGATGAGTTCTGTGCTCTTGGGCTAGTCATTTCATTTGTTAAGTGACTGGTAGCACATGTGGGGTGTCATTCTCTTTGGTGCTTCTACTCCTATGGGCTCAATTTAGTCAGATACCTGGTTTCAGATCCCAGCTATCTCACAAAATGTGTCACTACTTGAGAAAATGAAGCTCCTTATATCTGTTTCCCTAACACCAGAATGGGACACTGTGTGTCAGGTACTGTGCTAATAAACATCTCAAAGGTATTCTCTCACCTACCAACCCCCCACCCGGAAAAAAAAAGAGATATGTGTATCTAACAGGTATGTATTTCTACTGTCACTGGTTTATAAATAAGGAAACTGAGACTTGGAGGTGGTATGTAACTAACATTCGGTTAAACTGTTAATAAAGTGTGACTCGGAGCCACAGCTGTCCAGGTATGGAGTCGCCACATTAACAGAAATCCAGATTGAGAGATTTCCAACATCCTCCCTAGCTTTAAAATGTGATTATTCTACTGAATTCTTTAGTAGTCACCATGCTTTTATACAATTCTTACCTTCCACATCTGAGAAAGAAGCACCTGTGTAATTTTTGGTGTTGCTTATCTTTCCCATGCAACCGTATTTTCTCATTCTTTCCCTCCTTATTTGTTTCACCCTTTAATTGGTAATTTGTCATCTATAGGCCTCACCAGTGAAGAATTCATGTTGACTACTTTTAATGTAGGATATACTGCAAAATTCATCGCAATTTGTATTAATTTCCTTTATATAATACAGCTCATTTCAGAGCATGTATATAAAATGTTAGTCAACACATTAATTCACCTTGGCTTAAATCCAAAGTGCAATCATCCGAACGTTTGTGTTCCCCCAAAGCGCAAATACTGAAATCCTAACCCCCAGAGATGATAGTATTAGAAGGCGGGGGCTTTGGGTGAAGCCCTCATGAACAGGATTAGTGTCTGTAAAAAGAGGCTCCAGAGAGATCTCTTGCTCCTTCCACCATATGAGGGCACAACAAAGCACTGTCTATGAACTAGAAAGCCGGCCCTCACCACACTGAATCTGCTGGTGCCCTGATCTTGAACCTCCAGCCTCCAGAACTGTAGATAATAAATTTCTGTTGTTTGTAAGCGAGCCACTCTGTAGCATTTTGTTGTAGCAGCTCAAGTGGACCAAGACATGTGTATCTTTAATAGGAGCTCCTAATGAAGAAGGAATATATACTCCAGGGACAGAAAATGGCTATTGGGTAATTGCTGTACAGAAAACAAAATTAAAAATGTATCTAATGTCTAGCACTGAGTAGTAGTTCAACTAAACTTTTGATCAGAGAGATAACATTCGTAAATACATGAAGCAGAATCAAAAAACAATATGATACAAGCGGGTGTGATGGCATATTTATTTGAACAATTGTTCAAGAGTGGGTACAGTGACCACGCAAAAGCCTACATCTCTGCGGTCAGTCTGATGGCCTCAGGCATTTAGGGCTATGTAAATTCAAACTGAGATTAAGTAAAATTAAAACTGAACTTTAACTTGCGCTTCCTTTGTTCCAAGTACTTAATAGCCAAATGTGTGTGGCTACTAGTTCTCCTAGTGGACAATGCAGATATAGAATATTTCCATCATTGGGGCGCCTGGGTGGCTCAGATGGTTAAGCGTCTGCCTTCAGCTCAGGTCTTGATCCCAGGATCCTGGAATCGAGTCCCGCATCGGGCTCCCTGCTCCTTGGGAGCCTGCTTCTCCCTCTGCCTCTCTCTCTCTCTCTCTGTCTCTCATGAATAAATAAATAAAAATCTTTTAAAAAAATTTAAAAAAAAAAAGAAATTTCCATCATTGCCAAGAGTTCTATTAGATAATGTTGCTCTAGTCTAAGATGGGTGATATAAATGTCATCTAAATGTGATTACAGGCCCAACAAGAAGGGTGCAGCAAGACAATATTAACGATAAAGGAAGATACTAAAGAGTAATCTGTATATTGGTGACATTTAGTTTGAAGTTCCCCCCTTTCGCTCTATTCATATTTTACACAGTTTGAACATGAATAACAGGACTTCAATTACTTTGTCTTTGAACATAAAGTAACTATGACTGAAGACAGCTCATTGTTTGAAGGATAAGTCCAGCACATAGTATGGATGCAAGCACAGAGAAATT